GGGGGGTGGCCAAGTCCTCTCCAGAACTTCATTTGTGGACTAGATCCATTTTCTGATCTGATCCCATAATTAGGCCTGCAGTTTTTCACCCTTATGGGCCCAGGTCAGAAAAATGGATCCCATAATTAGGACTGCGGTTTATTGAACTTTTTTGAAGCTTTTTCTGACCTGATCCCATAACTATTAATTAGCCCTTTGTGGAAATGAGCTGGATAACTCTTAGAAGCGACCCGACCCGGCGCTGGATTTCTATAATTGGATTGGACTCCAGCCCAATTATGGGATAGATCCATTTTTTCTGACCTGATCCCATAATTGGGCTGGAGTCCAATCCAATTATATAAAAGCCAGCGCCGGGTCGCTTCTACCTTCTACGAGTTTTCCTGCTCATTTCCAAGGAGCAACCCGAGTCCTAACGGTTCCGATCGCCCTTAGAAGGCCTGTCTCGGGTCGGGTCTCGCCGCACGGCACACGAAACGAAAACGAAACGAGTGCATCTTCCCACCGAAGGTGGCAAAATACACTCGTTACTATTTATAGCAAACCGATGAACGTGGCCATTTTCTGGGGGACGATACATTCGTTTCGTTTTTCATTTCCTGTGCCGTGCGGCAACGCCCTCGATGCTCTTTCCGGAAACCAAGGTGCAGAACTAGATTTATTTTATGGGCTCCAAGGCCTGGTCTTGACATCAAAGGGGTCATTCTTTTGGCCTTTGTCGAGGTGAGTTATGCTCTTTGCTTACCAATTTGCAGGCTGCTGTGGGCTGGAATTGGGAATTGGGTTCTGTCCTGGAGACCCCTCGCTGAAACGACCAGTACGTTTCCCAGCCATTTTAATCTGACGCGGCCGTATGTGCACCGCGAAGTTTCAGGGGTCGGCCTGCCGGAGGAGCAAAATGGCTGGCCGTGGCAGGCGGGGCAAAAGAAGGCCGACACCGGTTCATTTTTCTGTGACCCTTCCCTTGACGGGGCTTGAAACCATCAGAGTACTTTTTTAACCCTTTCCGCTGACCCTTTCCGTGGCCTAAAGAGTGTTTCGAGGCTCGGCAAAGGGAAGGGGAAAAAAAAAGTGCTGCTGGTTTAGTTGCCTACACTTAGGCCGAGATCCCGCTGGCAAAGGGGATTGGATAAAACGCCTGAACCTGGATGGGTTTTATGCAGGGATGCAGAAAGTTAAAGCGATTAATTAATGCGATCTCTCTGCAAACACGTTCCATGTTCGGGCGTTAAATCCGAATCCCCTTTGCTAGTGGGATCTCGCCCTTAGTCTGGACAGCTGCTGCTTCCACCACCACCAAGTGCCTTCTTTTCAACTTGAGGGGGGTGTCCCAAGTTGAAACTTGGCCCATTTGGTGCCAAGTTCCCACTTTGGGACTGGTACTGGTACCACTTCAAAGCGCCACCTTGGTCCATTCGTCCTCCAAAAGCCATACATGGTACCATTTTTTGACTCTTGGGTGGTTCTTGTGCGCCTTGTTGATCAAGGCCGCACCTTGGGCCATCCATCCTCCAAAAGGACCAAAAGTCATGCCCTTGGCCAGGTGCGTCTAATCCGCTGTGTGTCTGCTGCATCCATGGCCGCTTTATGGTCAGGTGCGTCCTATCCGCTGTCTGTTTGTCTGCATCTATGGCACGCTGATCATGGCCAGGTGCGTCTGATCCGCTGCCTGTCTGGTCCATCATGGATTGCCTGTCTGCCAAACAGTCCGCATAGCATATCATTCTTTTAAACCACCTGTACCTTTCCCCCTTTTTTTTGTTTTTTTTTGTTTTTTTTCCGTACCTTTCCCCGGTTGATAAACAAATATGCGGCTCATTTACAGCCGCATATTTCGGGAAGTACGGGGGGGGGGGGGGG